ATATATAAATTTCATTCTTTAAATATAATTAATTAATATTTAAATTAATACAATAAGTACAAAATTTGAAATATAAATTCTTCAAATATAACCAAAGATCGCATGTTCAAAAAAAAAAATATAACCAAAGATCAATCTAATTTAATTTAATTGAGTTAGGTTTAAATATGAGTTAAGTTAGATTATGTAAAAATGAGTTAAATTTAAAATATATTGTGATAATGTATTCGATTAAATTAAATTTAAAATAAAATAAAATTATATATTTTTAATATTTTATGCGGATGAAGATCCCGCGGGACACTACAAGGTGAGAAAAAATTTCTACATAAATTCACACGCAAAAAATACTCTTCCTCCCTACCCCACCCCTGTGATGGGTATCCTTCCGAAGTCCATGGGAATTGGAAAAAATTGCCGCCCCTAATTTGAAGTATAATAAAAGATGGGCACACCGGAGATGGCTCTCCCACATGTCATGATTGACAAATTAGGAAATGCGAGGAGGCAATGACAAAGGAGATAACGTGAGATGGCACGTGGTTGCACCTCCGGTGCATCCACCATTTTGCCGGTTCTAAGAGGCGCGTGACAGAACACTTGCCCTCCGATTTGGCCAGTGGAGGAGACAAGCAACCACCCCCAGTCCCACGTAGCATATACCTATTGAAGTCGGAGTACAATTTTAAACTACAAGTCTTAAACTACTAGTCTTCGAAAGGTATATTTTCATTTTCTTTCTTGTTAGGGGTTAGGCGTTAGAAATACAGATTTTTTCCGGTTCCTTTTGGGTACCTATTGTCCGCAAAAGCACTCTAAAATGCACATGCTTTGTTTGACTTTTTTTTTTTTTCCTGAGCGTTCAGAGTGAGACTCTAAATTCATACCTCAAGTTTAACACATGAACATCTTTACAATAAATTAATAACCACTAGAACACAAGATCATTTTCTGCTTTGTTTGAATTTTGAATACAAAATCACAGAATGTCGTAGTAGGAGTACAATCTTTTAACCGAAAAGATAGTGGGTTTGGATCAAAATTTAACCTTTGTTGTCAAAATAATTGCCTTTTTAATAGGTACTGTATCTACTAGATCTTTTCCACCGATGAGGCTGTAAACTGTTTTCAAAGGAAAAATATATGACTTCTTGATCTCATCCGCAGAATTGTTGCATTATACATAATTTTTTTTTTTTTTGTGCTCATTTTTTTATATTTGATAATTATATTAAATTTTAATTAATTTAAAATCAAGTACTGTTAAATCCAATAAATTTTTTTTTTTCGTCTATTCCTTATTCATAAAATTAACAACGAAACTACAAAGGGGAATGGTTGGGCACAGGCTCAACCCTTTCCCCTAAAAGAAAGACTCTACTTTAGTAATTGAAATAAATAATTAAATAAGAAACTAAGTTTTATCAATTTAATACTTAAAGAAACAAACTTTATTTGCTTTTAACTATGGATTTCAACTCTTACATTTTTTGACCCATTAGTGGATTTCAATATTCCATGATGTGAAAATTATCTAAAAAAGAAACTTCATTGGTGGTTTATCCAGTGTAATTAATAATTTTCAAATATTAAAAAAATTAAAATCTTAAAATACGCTTTTTCTCTCTGTTTCTCTTATGTCCATCTTCGTTTTCCTATTCTAGCATACTCTTAGTACCAGGCCTTGGAGAATTTGCTGACAAATGCAAAAATATCGAAGTTGGTGCACATATAGCAACCACCAAGAAATCAAATTACATTAACACAATTAATCTTAATAAAATGGACATAATTTAGGACTTAAGAAAAAAGAGATTTATATATTATTTGAGAAATAATGCTCTTTAATTTGTTCAAATTCTTAAGCATAAAAAAATTAATTATAAAATAATGAATTCATAATACAAACAATTATATCTTAAACATGAGTTTGTTAACTTTTTTAAAATCTTTCAAATAGATTATTGTCTAACATGTAATTGTTGGACAACTCATTAGTTTCTTCAACTTATCTGATTTTTGAAGAATTATTAATAATGATAAAAACACCATAGGCTTGACAACCCTAAATAATTACTTTAGAGACTTGTAAATGAGTGAAAAAATATACTAATAATTATAATTATTTACTAGTTATTTTATTTATTTTTTATTGCTGATTTGAAATATTCTGTTTTCCAAATAAGCATAGTGAGGTCGCTATTGGAAAATTGACAATTTTAGTCCAACTGTCATGAGGCCCTATCTTGCATAGAATTCTGGTTCCACCACTACATCAGACTCGTACTCAATATCTTATTTATGAAAAACCGTGCTTCTTTCATTTAGATCAATATATCGTTGTTATGTATAATTTTTATTATGATAGTTATTTATAATAAAAATAACATATTTATAGAGGTAGTTATTTTTAATGAAAAATAATATATCAATTTTGACTTTTAAAAATAATTGAAATTTTAATTGATATATGAAAATTAAAATTTTATTTTATTAAATATTGATATTTAGATTTAAAAATTAATTATATTACAATATATAATCAATTTTCAAATTTAGGTACCAATATTTAATAAAGTGGATTTCTAAATTTTAGATTAAAATTTCAGTTTTTAAATGTAAATTGGAACTTTAATTTTTTTAGAAGTTAGAACTAATATACACTAATTTCATATTATTATATGAGAAAAATGCATATCAATTTTGACTCCCAAAAATAATTAGAGTTTTAACTTTAAATTATGTCGTTTTATTTGATTAAAATTTAATTCAAAATTTAAAAAATTATGTTATTAAATATTGATATTTAAACTTAAAAATTGATTATATTGTAATATATAATAGGTTTTCAAATTTAAATATCAACATTTAATAAGATAAAATTTCAATTTCCAAATGTAACATAAGACTCTAATTATTTTTGATAGTCATGACTCATACGTACTAACCTCTTATTATATAATTAATTTTTTTATTCAAGAGTTCACTCATAATATTGGGATGAATTTATTGCTACACTCTCAATTGCTAATACCATACATTTTTATTTCAATTAACTATTATACATTTTAATTTATTAAGAAACAAAAAATTGTAAAATTTTGAAAAAGAGTGTAATATAGGAATATGATAGGCAATTACATTAAAAAAGTGTAGCATTAATTATTTAAGATGTAACAACAGTCCCAGCCATAATTATTATATACATTTATTTATTTAATATCATGTTATACTTCATTTAATACTACGTAGAATTATAACTTATAATCATATTTTTAAACTTATAATCATATTTTTAAACTTATAATCATACTTGACATTATAATTATAACGTTTAATTTTTAAAAAATTGATTCTATTGATAACGGTAATTATTAACTAATAGTTAAAAAGATTGATATTTATTAATGGGATTTTTTTAACTTATAAAAATATGAAAAATGATTTAAGGATAATTTTTTATCACTTTTTTATACAACTTTATGTATCATTTGAATGATTTACCCTTTTCATTTATTTAGAACTAATGATATTGAATGTATCCATTCATTTAATGACATATGAAAAGTGTATATAAAGATGGTACAAAAAAGTTGTTCGTATATCACCACTCTAAAAATATAGATTAAAAGTGTAATTAATATACTTTTTAAAAATTAATTTACATAAAAATGTCAAAAATTGATATTAATTCTTATACCAATGTTACTTATATAATTTTAATTAAATAATTGATAAATTAAAATTTTAACTTTTATTTTTTAATATAAATTAGTTACTAAAAAAATATATTAATTGCATTCTTAATGTAAACCTTATTAATTACTAACAAATTTACAAATTAAAATATATAAATATTACAACTAACTGTTTAAAAAAAGAAAAGACAAATGTGATCAATATTTATGTGTAAAAATGGCAAAACTTTTAAATATACTCTTTAAATAGAAAGATAGAAATATATCCAACTCTCAAGAAAAAGTAAAAATAAATTATCTTTTTAAATTATCAATTAAAATAAATTATTTATTATTTTAATATAATTTTAATATGTGATGTCATTACATATTAATTTTTTGTTAAAAAATATTTAAATAATAAATAATTTTTTAACATATAATAACATCACGTATTATTATAAAAAATAATTTATTTTAAATAATAATTTTAAAAAAACAATTTACCGTTATCAATTTTTTAAAAACAAATTTATCCCTAAGAAGGGGTGAATTTAGGGTTGTGCACGTGAAAATAAACGTGCCGCAAGAAACGCAGGAATGTTACAACTTACAACTGACAGTTCAAGAGTTTGGTGTTGGGGTTTTGTAATTTCTTTTATATCGTAAAATTAGGAAAATAAAATTTGTCACCTTACGAAAAAAACAAAAATCCCAGCTTTTTTATTTTTTATTTTTTTTTTTAAGTTTGAAACTTTGAACTGTATCATACATGAACATGAACAACTCTCAATTTCAGTAGCTCACGTAATTTATGCAGTCCGGACTGCACTAAAACATCTACAGGGAACTATATTTGGGGGAAACAAAAAGTTACATCCACCACCATCATTCTAGTTTCTAGGTCTAGAATCTAGATGTGTAGCCACAAGATTTTCCCAGGTTCCAGACTCTTTCAACTATGTAATTAACATTCCCCAATTTTTATGTATACAATTTTTTCTTTTTCTTTTTTCTTGTTTTGTTTTATAAAAGTTTGAAACTTTGTGTTCACTTGAACCTGTTTGTGTTTCTGGGTGTTGACCATAACTGCAGATTTAGAGTCTGTAATGGGGTAATCTTAATCTGTATGATGAGCGAGTTAAGAGTAAACTGAGTGCGTGAGTGACCTGTGACAGCTGTTGAAGTGCTGTTAGAGGGGTAAAGATCCTTGCTTTCGAGTTTTAAAAGGTGCTTATTTTTGATTCCATAACATCTGGCAAATTTTTGTATAAAAAAAAAAAAAAACACAAAATTTCTCTATTTTTAAACCCTTGGTTGTCTGCATACCAAGATTCCATCCAGGAAGGCAGTTCACTGACTTGCAGAGCTTTATATTGCAAAGGCAAGATCACTATGTCACAAAAAAAGCTACTCCTGTTCTCTCTTCCAACGCTAACCTTCTAGCTTCTTTTGGGTTTAGACAACATTTTTATACTAAGCTGTCTCCATCTCGAAATCCTAGCTGACGTCTCTGGATATCAATAGCTCCGCTTATCTAAGAGATCTGAATTTTTGGGTGTGTTGATTTTTGTTGTTGATGTTGATCGTTTTCTAGTTTCTTTTCCCCATCTGATAAATTTCTTTGGTTTTCTATCTGGGACTTTGTTTTGATGTGTAAATGTGACGATAACTGGGTTGGTAGGGTAGGTTGACTGATACAATCACATTTGAAGTGTTTAAGGATTTGCTAGTGAGTGCAGTAGATCTGATGGAGTTATGAAAATACTTCATTGAGTGTTTTCTGATCTGTTTTCTTCATTGCTTACAGATTAGCCCGAGACAAGGTGATTGATTCATTGGTGAAGAGATGAATTCCGGAGCTGTGCTTGTAGCAATCGCTGCTTCGATTGGCAACTTTCTGCAAGGATGGGATAATGCTACAATTGCTGGTACTCTCCTCTTTACTGCCTCGAGTTTAGTTACTCCGTTACGTTTTTAGTCCTACTGCAAACTGGTAATGCTTGAACTAAAATTTCAAATTTAAAATTGAAACAGGTAGGAAACATTCCTTATCTTTTCTTGTCATGGGAATTTGTTTGCCTTCTGAGTTAAGTTATTGGACTTGATTGAAAATTGTATTAAATTCATTTTGAGGCCTCTAACTAGGGGGGTTTTTTGGCCGTCTTTTATGGATTTACTCACTATCACTATTCGGTGCTGATTCTGCTGTAAATCCAATGTTGATGCTAACACCTGTTCACTTGGTGATATTTCAGGAGCGATTGTGTACATCAAGGAGGACCTTCATCTGGGAAATACTGTAGAAGGTCTTGTTGTGGCTATGTCACTCATTGGAGCCACTGCCATCACAACATGTTCTGGAGCCATATCAGATTGGCTTGGTCGACGGCCATTGCTAATAGTGTCTTCGATTCTTTATTTCATTAGTGGTTTGATAATGTTCTGGTCTCCTAATGTCTATGTTTTATGCATGGCAAGGCTATTAGATGGCTTTGGAATTGGTCTGGCGGTTACTCTTGTCCCAATATATATATCTGAGACTGCCCCGCCACAGATAAGGGGATTGTTAAATACTCTTCCTCAATTCACTGGTTCTGGTGGAATGTTCTTATCATATTGTATGATTTTAGGAATGTCCTTTATGGCCTCGCCAAGTTGGAGACTGATGCTTGGTGTTCTCTCAATACCTTCTCTTCTCTACATTGTCTTGACAATTTTTTATTTGCCTGAATCTCCTCGGTGGCTTGTGAGTAAAGGAAAGATGCTTGAGGCAAAACATGTTCTTCAGAGATTACGTGGCAGGGAAGATGTTTCAGGTATGTGATTTACTACCTTCCTTTCCCTGTACCAATTTCTTAGGGGCAAGAGGGATGGGGGAGTGTATGGTTAGATACCCACCTTTGAGCCAAAAGCATGATCTTCGTGCTTGTTTTATATGGCTGACTGAGAGGCTTAACTTAAACTATGATACGGTGTATTGTTATATGAATCGGTTATATGAATGGATTTTCAGATAGGAATTTTTTTGCATGGTTAGTTGATTGCATATTCTTAAAAAAGGTATATTATGTATACTTTGCTAGACAATGGAGTACCCTAGTTTTATTCTGTTTTTTTCTTAGAAAATAAATGATCTATTATTTTAATTTATGGTTTGATAGAGTACTTAAGAGATCTGGAAGTTTGGTTTACTCTGACATGCATACATGATGTATAAATTTATCCATAATACAGTGGGAATTGACTGCTTTCTCTTTAAAGGTTTTTCTGTGCGTTGAATCTCACGATTTTGATAAATGAGATATGTAATCCAATATCCTTTACTCATATCGTCTATCCATTAGTGACTGTTCCATTTATAATTACATATGGCTCCTTCTGAGTATTTTATGACATTTAGAATATGCTTTATGCTTTATGAAAATTGGTATAAAAAATTTGAAAACTCAAAAATGAAATGCAAGTATAAGGCTTTTTACCTTGTCAGTCTTGCTGAAATTTGCCTGATGCGCAGGTGAGATGGCTTTGCTTGTTGAAGGTCTTGGGATTGGGGGTGAAACTTCTATAGAAGAGTACATAATAGGCACAACTGATGAAATTGCTGATGGTGAAGAACCGACTGATGACAAAGACAAAATCAAATTATATGGACCTGAGGAAGGCCTCTCTTGGGTTGCCAAGCCTGTCACCGGACAGAGTATGTTTGGTAGCATTGCCTCTCGCCAGGGAAGTATGGTGAACCAGAGTGTACCTCTTATGGATCCCCTTGTAACATTATTTGGTAGTGTTCACGAAAAGCTCCCAGAGACAGGAAGCACACGCAGCATGCTTTTTCCTAATTTTGGAAGTATGTTCAGTACTGCAGAGCCTCATGTCAAGGATGAGCAGTGGGATGAAGAGAGCCAAATGGGAGGTGAGGACTATGCAACAGAGGCTGCTGGGGGGGACTCTGATGACAATTTGCATAGCCCATTAATTTCACGTCAAACAACCAGTGTGGACAAGGACATGGTTCCTCCTGCTTCTCATGGCAGTGTTATGAGCATGAGACGCCATGGCACTCTTGTGCAAGAAAGTGAGGAGCCAGGTAGTAGTACAGGCATTGGTGGTGGTTGGCAGTTAGCATGGAAATGGTCTGAGAGAGAAGGTGAGGATGGAAAGAAGGAAGGAGGATTTAAGAGAATTTATTTGCACCAGGAGGGAGGCCCTGGAACTCGTCGTGGGTCTCTTGTTTCACTTACAGGTAATGATGCTCCTGCTGAAGGTGAGTACATCCAAGCTGCTGGTCTGGTAAGCCAGCCTGCTCTTTATTCCAAGGAGCTTCTGGATCAGCATCCTGTTGGACCTGCAATGGTTCATCCATCAGAAACTGCTGGAAAAGGACCACTTTGGGAAGCTCTTAATGACCCAGGAGTTCGGCGTGCCTTGTTGGTTGGGGTTGGAATCCAGTTACTTCAGCAGGTAATAGATTTTCTGTAATCGGTTATGTTACATTGCTTTACCACAGTTAGTTTTTCTTGTTTCACTTCAATGAAATAGAGGCTTGGTGATAACCATGGCAGTTGATTCCTATTTAGTGGGTTTCCTTTGCAGAGTTCATTAGATGCTCAATCCTATCTTTGTAGGATATAGTAAATGATATTTATTAATACTTGTGTTTAGTATGGCAACTAGAAAATTTTTTTTGGATCTCTCTGTTTTTCAGTGAGTTACTTCTACTAGGATGGTTGAACTTTAACCTCCTTTTTTTTTCTTTTTTTCTTTTTTTAATTTATATGCAGTTTTCTGGAATAAATGGAGTTCTCTACTACACCCCACAAATTCTCGAAGACGCAGGTGTTGAAGTTCTTCTTGAAGGCTTGGGCCTTAGTTCAACTTCTGCATCATTCCTTATTAGTGCATTCACAACTTTTCTGATGCTTCCTTGCATTGGTGTGGGCATGAAGCTCATGGATATCTCAGGCAGAAGGTAATTTATCCCTCTGAAAATTTCTCTTCTAGTTTCAATCATAACCTGGCATTGTAATGGTGAGATCTCCTATTCTTATAACCATCAACACCCCTTTCTCCAAGTGATAACACAATTGTTCAAATTCTTGCAGGCGGCTGCTACTTACCACAATTCCTGTGCTCATTGTGTCTCTTGTCATTCTAGTCTTTAGTGAACTTGCGGACATAGGCGAAGTTGTGAGTGCAGCAATCTCGACTGCTTGTGTCATCATCTACTTTTGCTGCTTTGTCACAGCATATGGACCAATTCCTAATATCCTCTGCTCTGAGATCTTCCCTACAAGGGTTCGTGGCCTCTGCATTGCCATCTGTGCTTTAGTCTACTGGATCTGTGATATCATTGTCACCTACACCCTGCCTGACTTGCTCAGTTCGATGGGCCTAGCTGGCATCTTTGGCATTTATGCTGTTTTCTGCTTCATCTCTTGGTTCTTCGTCTTCTTGAAGGTTCCAGAGACCAAGGGCATGCCCCTTGAAGTCATCACCGAGTTCTTTGCTATTGGTGCAAGACAAGCGGACGCGAAGAGTGAGTGATTTGCTGCGTTGAACCTAGACGTCCCCAACATCAGTTTGGAAAATTTTGCACATTATTGTTGCATAAAAAATGAGTCATCTTCAGGTTCAAATGTATCAAACTATAATTTTTTTTTCTGTTTCCTTTAATTTTTTATTCTTAGCATACCAGTTAAATTACGTGCGTGGAAGAACTAGTTGAGTGTTGTTATATCAATCCTCTTCGTAAGAAGATTTGCTCAGATTTGATGTGATATTGTATTGCTTTTTGCTTAGAAAGAAGCTACTCTTGATAATGCAGATGCAGGCACTGTTTATCATAAACAACCGGTTGGCCTTTTAGTTGGCCAAAAGAAATCAGTTAACCCTTTTACAAATGTCAGTAAGGCAAAAACATTAGGAACGGCAACTATGGATCCACATAAAACATTGCAACTCTATTTACAAAATTTCCTCTCTTTACAAATGACATTCAAGATTGGGACCTAAGAAAATTGATTTGAAAATAACTTCACAGTTCAAAACAACAAAAATACTACAGAATTCACTACATAAATATAGTATCTGATAAATTGAAGATGATGCCTCTGGCAGGCGTTCAGAGGCATCAGCCATACGTATCTTTCAAGGTTTCTGCATTTCCTCAGAAGATAAATTGCCTTGAGATGAATTTGGGTCAAGCTTTGGTCTGGGAGGCTTGGAGTAAACAACCTTACTATTATTTGGGCTCTCCTCTACAGGGTCATTTGACTTGGAATATAGCTTGAATGGTCTCTGGAAATCTTTAGCGTTTCTACCATCAATCATTAGATTATTGAGTTTTTCATCCTACATAAACAAACAAATAGAAGTTTTCAAAGAGGAATGCACTGAGTGGCAGCAAAACAAACAAAAATTATTCAGGAAAAACATGATTGGCGGTTTGGGGAGAAAAAAAAAAAAAACAGAAACAAAAAGCAAACAAACTAGTTCAGTTTCTTGGTAATACAAGGCACTTATTCCTTCACATTAGTTCCTCAGGATCTTCTCCAAAACTACCAATAGAGCTACTCCGATCATTGCAAAAGTAATCCTTTTTGCAGAGCAATAATCTCATCACTATAACTTTAGGAGCCATTTTCCGTATAGCATTGGTGTATCGCATGCTTTTCCTATTCTGATTAAGATAAAAACTACTTACATTCTGTAGTGCTTCCAGCTTCCTTTGTAGAGCCTCATGCTCAGCCTGAATTCGGAATGGAACACCATGCTTTTGATACACATTGTTTTGTGCCAAGTCTTCATCAATCTCACTAGTAGTGGTTGCAAAAGGATGATTTGCAGGAATCCACCTGATTGTGTCAGGGTCAACATCAGGAGGAATTGAGTCCCCTTCTTTAAGGAAAATTGTCGGTCTCTTCCACTGGTATGCTCTTGACCTCCTTTTCTGATGGATAGCTTGCTGGTCCCGAGTAAGAGTAACTGGAGCCAGGCGATAAACCTTCCCACACATCTCTACAGTTGAATTTCCCTTCCCAACTTTTACCAATGGATTATTAAATGGATCATCATACTTAAGGGGGCTTGATCTGTGAAAAAGAGATCTCATAAGAGAAGCCACATTATTATCAAAGGAGAACACACCATAACAACCATAGTGCTGACAGATTACTTTTCTACATCAGCACGTAATGATAGAGGTTACAAGTACAATGTGTAATGCAACATCGATTTTCCTTGAGACAACATGAGTTGGGAAGCCTTAACAATGTGCATAGACAACCAAAAAGGTACAAGGAAAGGATTGAAATCATACATGCCTCTTCTATCAGATCTTAGATGGCCGCGCCTTACAAGATCAGCCACAGAGCCATGAATGTTGTCCCTTGATTTCCCTACCACATAAGCTCTCACAGCAATAATAAGTATTGCAGTTGCAATGCAAAACCCAATTACCAAATTACTCCCACCATACTTTTTCATCTGAAGAAAGCAAGAAATGCCATGAATGAGAAAACCAAACCTGAACTGAAAATATTCAAGCCTTTCCCGAAGGAAGCTGCCATATAAATTTCCAGTTTCCTCACAGTAACAATAACACATTGTGAGAAAGAAAAGACCTTGGCTGCTTCAACTAACAACTTATGCAGGTTTAATATATAGGTATTAAAAGGAAGTTCATTACAGTACAAAGTGCAAAAATTAAACAAAAACGTAGCTTCATAACAGATTGCATTAGCTATATCATATTAACTTAGAATACAGAAAATTGAAACTTTACCATTAAAACAACAGGGGGAAAAGAGCTGATAGTCCCCTGAAACCTTGAAAATGGGTGTTCAGAATTCAAGACCAAACCCCTTTCCACTGAATTAACCACCGCATTTTGGGTAGGCTGTTCCACCTCAGAGCCGGAAGAACCGGCAATGGCTCTGAGTTGAACCTTCCTATTGTTTTTTAGTTGGGAGTGATTTAGCAGCAATTTTGTTGGAAGTCGGACGACATTTGAAGAAAGCCAATGCTTATTGCCCCAAATTGACAGCTGAAATCAAACAATTAACCGAAAGAAGAACTGTGATACACATAGCACATTGTAAATTTAAGGGGAAAAAAAAAAAGTTCTAGACTTTACCAGGAAGGAAAGGGAATGAAATTGGAGACTCCAAATTGACGCCATAAACACATGTAAAATCTCACAGTATTTCGAAGATAGAGTCGAAATTTATCAATCCAGATTTAGTTTAAGATTAGGGTTTTGGTCTCCAGACCGCCACCAAGTCACCGAATCGTTCAACTCAACCGGCCTCCTTTTATTTATTTATTTTATTTTTATTATTATTATTATTATTATTATTATTATTATTTTTAT